AAAAAAAAAAAAAAAAACTATGTTTGCTGTACATTCAGAAAGACTGCCCAAAGTTAAATTTTGACTGATGTCCAAGAAAGCCACCTCATCTTAGCCACTTTCAATCTGTGCTCAAAATGCACTTCAACCTGCAGCAATAGTCAACTCACCAACCAAAATATAAGCCATCTTTTATACAGAAACAGGACTCCAAGGAATAAACTGGTTCACCTACACTAAGATACTGTCAGGTAAAAGTCTCTTTTCTGTTTTTTCTTAAAGCAAATGAAATGCATACTTGTATCTTGAGAAATTAAGTATTAACTCAATCAAATACCCTTAAAAATTAAACATTTATCAGGTCCTCAATCTCGACGCTTAGGAAAAGCTGAAAAGAACCAAATTCATACACTAGAGATACATTTTAAAATCACAGTAAAATTTCCCCAGAAAAAGCTTATCTACTGTTAGCATAGGCTGTCAGCTGTGAACCAATAAACTACCAAGAACAAATTTGTCATAAGTTTCCCTTTAAGTGGCCTGTATATATACATTTATGTATATATTTAAGTTGTACCAAAAACTGCTTACAAATGGCAATTCCTGTGAAGAAGATGATGATGAAGTTCCAGGTAATTCTAGCATGTTTCCTAATGTACTGGTGCTGGAGTCTGGATCATCCTGAAAAGATAAATTTATTGAATTTAATTGCTCTTCTATGGTAATGTTTGTATCTCCTAGTGAAAAAGGGGTTGGGAGAAGGGCTGCTTTTTCACTGCTGCCGTCCACTTCATTTCTTTGCTTATTTTTCTGTGTTTCAGTTTGAGGAGCTAATGGTAAGAATGGCGATTTGACTGCACCATGTCTACTCTCTGATGTGCTGTCTTGTTCACTTCCCATGGCCACTTTTACACCATTCTCTGATTTAGGCTCATAATTGCAGGTGGCATTGGTCTGAGTTTCCTCATAGATCTCCTCTATACTCTCATCCTCTGTGACTGGCTGTTCTGGGTCCATTTCAGAATCTACATCTGTATCGTCCACACAAGTAAAATTCTCAAAGTGCAGAAAGCCATTCTTGATAGTCTTTGTTACTTTTACCTGGAGTTCAGGGGAGTTATTACAGGAGGGTTCCTGTTTCATAGCAAGTGCTGTAGGACCACCAGGACTCAAGGAAGTGCAAACAATTGGCGACTGAGCTCTTGATTCACTTTTTTCAGGGTCTTGAAAGGATTCTGATCCATCAGCAGACCCATTTAAATACTCTACATTGATCATGGAGGCCAAATCCTGTAGTCTCCGCAGTGGAATGTAACAAGATGGAGAATCTTGTCCATAAGCATTTTGGGATGTTCCACTGGCAGTCGGTAACTGCATAGTACACCCATTAATTGGCTCAGAAAAATTGGATTGACCATTACCGAAAGGGCTGTCCTTGTCTTCAGGGACATCTAAGTTCACTGGGTTGGAAAAGGGCAGCAGACAATTTCTTCTAGATAGTTCACAGGTCTGATCCATCCTGGGCCAGCATCAACCTAGAATCCAAAAACACAGCAGTTAATTTGAGTTAACAGGCCATCTGACGCTCCTCTTCAAAATGGCAGCCACTTCTCAAGGCCTAGTGGCCTCTATGCCTTTTTGCTGCACTTCCATGGGCGGAAAAAGTTCCCCTGACTGAAATGCAAAAATGGCCTCGGTGAACCTCCGCAAACTCCGTTTTCCTCAAGCTGAGCAAATCCTGCCACATGGAAACAGCCTGTTCCTTCTTCTTCCACCACAGATTGGACACTTGGGCTGAACTAAAATTAAAATCCCTTTGCAGTCAAAATTCTCAACTCTCAAACCAGAAATCGTCCTTCCTCTCCCCTGCCAGGGGTCCAGTGGCTGGAACTCCGGAAGGGAGGAGACTACGGGGTCTGAGGGGACCTCCCGGACGCTGCACAAAAAGGTACCCCTCCTCCTTCCTGGCTCGCTCGGGCACAGCGGTCACAATAGCGCTGCACCCTGCGCCCAGCCAGTGCCGGAGCCTTTGCAGCGGCCGTCGCCAGGCCTCAAGCTAGTCGGCCGAGGCGGGTGCACCCCAGAGTTCGCCTTCTTCACTGCAAGAGCTGTTCAGTCCGCAGCTACAGGGCCCAGAGGCCGGGACGCAGTAGGGCGATAAACTGGGGTGGCGGGCGAAGCCGAGTCAGGGCAGCAGCAGCTGCTTCAGCTTGACAAACATGGCTGCTGCCGACGCCGCTGCTGCCTGCCCAGGCCGCGCTCCTTCCCGCAACCACGACCGCACCTCCCGGCAGAGCCGATCTCACTCATCAATATTCAGCAACAAGCAAAGTTTGCTGCGGGAGGGCAGGTGGCTCTGTGCTCCCCGGCCGGCTACCTGGTGTGAGGCGGAAGCCGATGTGCTCTCGGGCGGCCGGCGGGGCACGGGCCGCGCCGGGAGGAAGTTCGCGGCAGCCCGGCCAGCTAGGCCTGAGCCCGGCTGGTAGTGATGGAGGAGGGGGAGGGGACCTACGGCTGCAGCGCCGCGGGCCACCAACCCAGCACCGCGCCTTGCCCTCTCCAGAGCCCCTCACCTCACGGCCACCACCATCTTCCCCGCCCGGCCGCCTCCGCCCTCCTCCTCCAGCCTACCCGCCGCCCACCCCAGCGCACTAGTTACCGTGCCCCGCGCCCCCTCCCGGGCCAGCTGGGGGGAGGGGGTGACCCTCATTACACTGGGGCGCGAGCGGAACGGTGGGGAGAGAGAGGAGCCGCTCGCCGCACCCCCCTCCCCCCGCGTTTCTCTTCAAGGGAGAAGGCAGCGAGCGCGACCTGCCCCGGCCTATTCCTCCTCCTCCGCCTCCGCCGCCGCCGCCGCCTCCTCCTCCTCCTCCTCACACCCCCACCGCGCGCGCCCCCGCGGCGCGTGCAACCCAGCGCCTCGCACCGGCCCGCGTGCAACTGGAGCCCCGAGTGCGCGCACACCCCTTCCCCCGCCGCGCGCGCGCGCGCGCTCCCTAGCCTCACTCTTCGGGGTTCAGGGCGGGTGAAGTCGGACTCGCGAGCGCGCCGCCCAATCAACTGAGCTGCTGCAGCCTCCCCCTCACTCCCCTCCCCCTGCGGCCGGCTCGCGGCTGGGGCCTACGGGCCGGACTGACTGCCCGGGCGGGGTCTAAGGCGGGCTCCCTAGGGGCCTCGCGCGCCTCCTAGCACTGTCGAGGCCTGCGGGCGTCGTGGGTGGCATACCGATCCCCTCTCCTACCTCGGGGCACTGTGCAGTCTCCGTGCTACACACGGCTCCAGCACCCTACCGGTCTTGAACCCCAAGCTAGACGATACCTGGCCCAACTGAGGCCTGTCCGACTTCCCCGCCAGCCCCGCGTCAGTCCCGGCCTCCATCTTAGGTTACAGTCCAGGCTCCCCATCTACTGGGCACCTGCCCTCAGCCCGCTTGGCTCGGCCCGAGGCCAAGACAACCCCCCTCCTGCCGCAGGGCTCACCTGGGGGCTTGGGCTGGGGTCTTCGAGGCCTCAGGCCCCGAGAAGGCGTGGCTGCAGGTGAACCCCCTGCCCGGCCGCACCCCAAACCCACACCATCACCACTACAGACCAAGCTGAGCAGGAAACAAAATGGAGGCAGCAGCTCGGGTCTGCCTACCCGAGCCAAGCCTATGCAGCCCCAGGGCTCCCTCCTGCCGCAGGCTCGACGCCCGCGAGGCAGGGGGCTGGCTCCTCCGGGGCACCGCAGGCAGCCGCCCTACTACAGCGCATATGGGCCGGGAAGTCGGCCCTGCGGTCCTCACAGCCCCTCGCCCACCACCCCCCTTCCCCTCCCCCTATTTTTCTCCCTCCCCCCTGCCCGGCAGTGCGGGGTGAGCGGCTCCGGGGAGCCGGGTCGGGTTACCCGCCCGGGCACTGCCCGCTCGATCGTGGCCTCAGCGGGAGAATGAAGCCAGGCGACCCCAGCGCTGAGCCCACCTCTCGCACCCAAGCCGGACTGCAGCCTAACAGCTCGCCCGCACCTTGGCCTGCCGCCGTGCGGCCCCCGCCCAGTGAGGCCGAGTCCCCAGCCCCGGCACCGCCGGGACGAAGCTCCCTCACCACCCCTGAGCCCAAGGGTCCTCGCTGCCTCGGGCGGGGCGAGGGGAGCCCTGGGGGAGGGGTCCACTAATCCCTGCACCGCCTCCAGCGCCTAGCCTGGGTCTGGGCCTGGCAAGGGGGCTCGGGCAGCGGGCGCCGGCGGGCGTAGGTAGGTGCGTGCGCGCCGGGCTGGTGGCCGGGACGGGCCGCGCCTCGCACCGCAGACGCTGCAGTTCTCGGCACCCAGGCAGATGGCCCTCTCGTGCCACCGCCGCCCAGAGCAGGCCGCCGGCTTCTCAGCCCGGTTCCCCGGGGAGCGCGCGCCTTGCCTCTGCGGATCGGGTTTGGGACTCAACAGAACTACCCCCCGGAGAGAGGGTAGTTCCCCCTGTCTGGCTGGGCCAAGCCTTCTGCCCTAACCCCGGACCGGGGTTGCCCCTGTTTTGGGCGGCCGGGACCTCACGGCCTGCGCCCAGCATCCGTACTCTGCAGCACCGACCTAGCGCAGTCGCGGCACGACGGTGTGCAAAGACAGCGAAAGGGCAGGTTGTGAAACCCGAACTGGGCCTGATCCCATGACTCCAGCCCCCCAGCCTAGACCCTTTGGATCCCTGGACTTGATCCCCAGCAAGAAGCTCACCTCCGGAGCTATTTGGTCCCTAAGAGGCTAAGCGCATCCTGGCTGTTCAGAGAAAGTCATAATCGACCGCCATAAAAATTCCGCCTCCTCCAGAAAGCCTTCGGTGATTAGATTTGGAGTTAATTCCATCTCGAAGCCGAGGGCACCGCCCTTGAGGGCCACGTGACTACCATTCCTCCCTGGGCTTACCAAATGTGCATAGTTACTACCCCAGTGGAGTGTTGACCCGCAGTCCTGTAAGACCACCTGGGAGAAAGACACTTTGATGCTTTTGCTGTACAACTTGTCAGTGCTGGGCTAGATAAACTCCATCCTTCCTGGACCCAGCAACCTGCTCAGCAAGTATGAAGCTCCGGATGCCCCTATTCTTTCCTCTCCAAGGCCCACAGTCCAGTGATGGAGACTCCCAAGTAAATAGACCATTAGCAGACCCCACAAGTGCTGGATGTAGGTCCTGCCAAGACACCAAGTGGACTTTATTAGAGTGAAAGCACCTGCTGGAACCAGAGTGATGAGAGGGCTGTGATCCCACAGGCACTCCTACTGTTGAAGAAGAGAATAAAGTACTCTTTTAAGATTCCCAGATGCAAAGTCAGGTTGGCAGTTTTCTATGTGTTAGGGTCAGCCGAAGAAGAATTGATTCTACACCCCAGGGTCTTACCCTTTCATTCTGCGGAGAAGTCACCCCTGCTAGCCCCAACAGGAGAAGCTCTGACTGGTTCCTTCTTCACACCTAATAATTTGATCCAATCATTTCTGACTGACTGTTACTCCTCTGCTAATTGTCCCAGTTCATCAAGGTTCCTCCCAGTCCTTTACTATTCCACTAACCATCCTGAGGGCCTGAGAGCTGCCACTGGGTGTCCTTGAACAAGTCACTTAACAGCCCCAAGCCTCAGTTTCCTCACCTGTGGCTTCTGGGGCACTGGGTAGCTGTGAGGATCCTGTGGTAAAGGAAGTGTTAGCAGCCTACACTTAGATTTAGTCACAGACTGAGCACTTGATGAATGCTTAAATTTAATTCATTGCTTCATTTAGCAACCATTTCCTGCATTCCAGGAGGTGTGCTGGATGCTCAGGAAACAAAGGATAAGATATTGGCCTCAGGAAAAGACAATTAAATAAATTTACTGAAGTGTGAGAGGTTGGGACTATGGTTCCTCCCAAAACTGACCCCTGCACATCACTCTCTTGCAGATCTCCTCTCTCCAACCTCTAGCTCCCCTGGAAAAGTAATGAGGGCCATAGGGGGATTGGCAGCTGCGGATAATCTAATTACTAACAGGCCTGGGAGAGGAGACTTGAACACTGGAGTAAACCTTCCCTGATACGATCCCTAAAGGACCTCCCTACCTTAAAAACAGCAGCCACTCTGAAGCCTCCCAATCCAGCAGCCCCTGGCTGAGCTTTTGGGTGCCATCACTAAGTTGAGGCTATCCACAGTGCCTTATGTTCTCACAAGGACACTGACTCCTGAAGTAGGGGAAGATGGGATAGGACTGTGTCCCTGTAGGGTTGGGCCTGGGATGTAGACCTATCTCTTCCCTAGATGAAGTCTCAACTCAGGGACTTTTTCTGAGCCTATCTCCCATCCTTAAGACAGAGAAGAGGCTCGGCGCCTGTGGCTCAAGTGGCTAAGGCGCCAGCCACATACACCTAAGGTGGCAGGTTCGAATCCAACCCGGGCCCGCCAAATAACAATGACAGCTGCAACCAAAAAATAGCCAGGTGTTGTGGCGGGCGCCTGTGGTCCCAGCTACTTGGGAGGCGGAGGCAGGAGACTTGCTTGAGCCCAGGAGTTGGAGGTTGCTGTGAGCTGTGATGCCACAGCACTCTACCCAGGGGGACAGCTTGAGGCTCTGCCTCAAAAAAAAAGAAAAAAGAAAAGACTGAGAGAAGAATCAATAAATACTTGCAGAACTTGTGCTGTATATTGAACACCGTGCTAGGCATTTGACACACAGTTCCTTTAAACTTTCACCAGCCCCAGGAAAAATTGAGGAAGAGATTAAGCCCTTATATAAGATCTCAGCCTCGCAGCTCTCACCTGGAATGACTGGCCTCACATTTCTTACTCTTAGCTTGTACACCCTATAAATACTGTCTGTGAAAAGCCCAGAGTAATGGCTCACACATAGATGCTCAGGAATTTGAAAGTGGAGCAAAGTGAGACTACCTTAGCCTGAGCTTCTTCATTTGTAAATCATGGGTCTTTTTGTTTTGTTTTTGTTTTTTGCAGTTTTTGGATGGGGCTGGGTTTGAACACACCACCTCCGACATATGGGGCTAGCGCCCTACTCCTTTGAGCCACAGGTACCGCCTAAATCATGGTTATTGATAATTCCCACCTTGCTGAAACAGATACCTGTTGGGACTTTTGGCCAGTGACCTATGTTTCTTAGAACTGCCCCCTTTCATTCATTAATTCAATATACATTTAGTGGACTCCTCCCTAACAGCCTGGGGGGAAAGCAGGCAGATAATAAATAAGACAGAAGATAGCAGAGGGCTGAGAGAGAAACTGGAAGTCTTGGGGGAGCTGGGAGGTCCCTTGGAGAAGACTCAGGGGCAGTCCTTGAGGAAGTAACATCTAGAGGGAGTCCTGAAATATAGCCAGGAATAGCCAGGAAGAAGGGGGAAGAAGCAGAGATTCCTGTAGAAGAGCTAGAGGAATCCCAAGTTTGGGAGAAACTAACCACAGTTGAGAGTGGCCAGAAGCTAGTACATGTAGCTGGAGAGGTGATGAGTGCAATAAGAGACTCAAGTAAGGATGGGGATGGCCACAGGGACCTGACCATGCGGCACTTTGTTGGTAAAGTTAAAGAATTTAGGCTTTATCTGGAAGTAGGGAGCCATGGAAGATTAAAGAACAGGATAATAACATGATTGCATATGAACAGTAAAAAACTCACTCTTCCAGCAGTGTCCACAAGAGGCTGGTTCTTCCCTTGGAAACATAAACCAAGCAAGGGCCCTTCTTCTGGGGGATGTGCTGGGATTGTCTTGTTCTAATAGAAGTTGTGGTTTATCCTCTGTGCCAGCTACTCCCCAGGACACTGTTTCATTTAATTGTATGAGATAGGCACTATTGCCATCTCCATCTTCTAGAAAGGAAACATAACATGCCCCAGGCCAAATC